GGCAAGATTTCTTTATTTTATTTTATTTCTTTATTTATTTTTTAGATGTTGGGGGTAGGAGTTTATTAATTAATTTATTTATTTTTGGCTGTGTTGGGTCTTCGTTTCTGTGCAAGGGCTTTCTCTAGTTGTGGCGAGCGGGGGCCACTCTTCATCGCGGTGCGCGGGCCTCTCACTATCGCGGCCTCTCTTGTTGCGGAGCACAGGCCCCAGACGCGCAGGCTCAGTAGCTGTGGCACACGGGCTTAGTTGCTCCGCGGCATGTGGGATCCTCCCAGACCAGGGCTCGAACCCGTGTCCCCTGCATTAGCAGGCAGATTCTCAACCACTGCGCCACCAGGGAAGCCCCATGGATTTCTTTATTTTTTTTATAGCTGATTATTATTCCACTGTGTATAAAAATACATTTCTTTATCCATTCCTCTGTTGATGGACACTTAGGTTGTTTCCGTGTCTTGGCTATTGTAAACAATGCTGCAATAAACATGAAGGTGCAGATATCTCTTTGAGATAGTTATTTTATTTCCTTCAGTTATATACCTAGAAGTGGGATTGCTGGATTGTATGGTAGTTCTATTTTTATTTTTTTGAGGAACCTCCATACTGTTCTCCATAGTGGCTGCGTGAATTTACACTCCTGTCAACAGTGCACGAGGGTTGCCCTTTCTCCACATCCCCACTCTTAACTCTTGTCTTTTCGATAACAGCCATGTGGTAGATATCTCAGTGGTTTTAATTTGCATTTCCCCGATGGTTAGTGATGTTGAACACCTTTTCATGTACCTGTTGGTCATGTGTGTGTCTTTTTTGGAAAAACCTATATTCAGGTCCTTTGTCCATTTTTAATAGGATTGTTTGGATTTTTTGCTGTTGTAGTGAATGGTGCTGCATCTTTCTTCTCATTTCTTCAGCTGAATCTCTTCTGAGTCTCCGTTTTTTAAAGATTCATGTGATTAGATTGGGCCCACTCAAGAAATCCAAAATAAACTTGCTATTTTAAGGTCTGTAACCTTAATTCCATCAGTAAACCCCCTTTTGCCGTGTAATGTAACATATTTACAGGTTTCAGGAATTAGGGCATGCACAGCTTTGGAGAGGCCATTCTTCCCAACACTAAGTAATATTCGCTGAGCCCTTCTCAGGGCAAGGCATGGTGCTGAGGCCTGCGGGTCCAGGATAAACAGTCCAGATGCAAGCCTTCCCTCATGGAGCTCGGAGCCCTGAAGAGCGAGGACCACTGCTCGCACGTGACCCCATTTGCAGGGCCTGGGACCCACTCAGAGGCCCATGTGCCATCTGTCTAAAGCATTAGAAGGTATAAATCAAACCATACTGCCGTGCCCCCTGCTCTCTGCAGTTTCTCTGGAAGGTGGTTTGCAGGGTGTCTCCACTGCAGAAAATGACAGGATGGGGCGGAAGCTGGGTTTGGGCTCAGCGCTCTTGGGCAGAGGCTGGCTGGACTTGCCTAACCTAGGGCAGCTCTGACCAGGTCAATCTCCCCAGAGCACCGGGGCCTGTGAGACTCCTGCCCCAGGTGTCACTTTTCAGGCTCTGTTTTCCAGACAGTTCTAAACATTTCTCAGAGTATACTACCAGCAAAATGGTGGGAGGGAATGTCTCCTGGGGACCCCCACTCGGGATTTGGGTGGCCAGCTTCAAACCAGATCAGCCCTTCTTGCTCTGGTTTCTTGGGGCAGAGGCTGGGACCCTACCTGCTCTCCATACTCAGATCCCTTTAGCCCCCATCCATGGCCTGGGGTGGAAGGAGGGTCGTTCTGTCCTTTTTATTTAGAGACTCTTTGCTCAATCAGTCATTGACTTGCAGGAAAATTTCTTAGGAGACCAAAAAGGACAAATCGTATATTTCAGCCTGTGTGATAAGCTGGCCTCTGCATGGCTCACCCAGCGCAGGGCCCTTTCTGCCCAGATGGCTGCAGTAGTTTCCAAGCCTGTTTGTATCTGCTGTGGTTCCCTGCAATATCACCACCTCCCCGCCAAAACCCACAGAGGCCAACACAACCCTCCACCCCTTCACAACCTTGGCCTCTCAGGCCCTTGCCTCTGTGCCTGCCCCTGGCCTCCCTAACCTGGCCTCCTTTTAGGTGCTTGAATGCGGCCTGCTGCCTCCTGCCCCACCGCTTTCGCAAGCGCAGTTTCTGCTGCCCGGAAGGCTCCTTCCTCCTGCTTTACGTCCTTCCCTCCTGCTTTACGTCCTTCCCTCCTGCTTTACCTCCTTCCCTCCTTGCTTTACCTCCTTCCCTCCTGCTTTACCTCCTTCCCTCCTGCTTTACCTCCTTCCCTCCTTGCTTTACCTCCTTCCCTCCTGCTTTACCTCCTTCCCTCCAACCACCTTGAGATACCAGCTTGGGGAGCGGGGTCGTCCTCAGGGATGCCCATCCGCTGCCAACCCTAGGCTGAGTCCAGAGTTCTGCTCTCATTCTTTAGGGAAACTTCCTTGGTTGGACTGTAGAGTCATCAAGTGACGTGGGTCAACTGGACTTAAGTTCAGGGAGGGGGTGGGTGGGGGTGGGGTGGAAGGGGCATCCAGGGTCCATAGGAGATATTCTCTCAAAGTGGAAGCTTTTTAATGACACTTATTGAGCGCTCACTGTTTGCAGGTGTGGGGCTGATTAACCCTCACAACAACCCTGAAAGGGAGGGGCTTTTATTGTCTCCATTGTACGGAGGAGGAGGTGGAGGACAGCTGGCTCGTGCCTGGTAACTAAAAGGTTGTCAAGGTCACAGACTTCCAAGGAGGAGGGCGGAAGCAAAACCATAGAGAGGGCTGTCAGATGGAGGTGCCTTTTCCAAACAGCAAGTCACCCGCCCTCCCACCTAGTGCTTGACAGAGTGTATTAGCATGGCTAGCACCGCACTCTACGCGTTCTTCTGCATCTGCTTCCCACGTGTGTAATTAATCTTGGAGCATCTTCCCACGTCAGTAGAGAGATGGTCTTCTTGCTCATTATCTACTCCAATGTCTTTTCTGGGAGAGAACGACTGGAAACAACCCAAATGCCCTTGTAAGGGCAAATACAAATAAAAACATTTCTTTCTGGTGCCAAAAAGGGAAAGAGACATCCCCACTCCCTTTTCTTGAGCATTTAATTTAGAAAACATAAATTCTTTCTCTGCTCCTTTTTGCATGTATGCGAGGCTTTTAAAAAAGCTGAATGAGCCTCTTGCCAGTTTTACCACACAAGGGAACCCTCTGTTTGCAATGTAAATATCAGGAAGCCACACCCCTATCACCCAGTCTCCGGAGCGTAGGAGCTTAACTCAGGGTTTGGCTCCAAGTTGCGAAGACACCTCCTTTCATAAAGATATGAGTTCTTCTTTCCTGTGGTTAAGGACAATTAGCTAACACAGAGAGCCACCCCAATCACCAGCTGAGTTCAGAATGACAAACCGTGTTATCTACTTCTCTTACTTGAGGTTATCATTTGAGAACCTGGATGTAATAGGTTGTGTCTACTGGACTATATAGAAGGGTAGAGTTTCTGCTTGTGCAGTCTCTTTAGCAGACTGTCTGTGATGTGCACCACAATCAGGTTGAACATATATTCAATAGTAAAACTATTTTCTTTCTTTTCTAATTTTGTGGAGAGGTTTTTGGGGTTGGCGGGAGATTTAGTGTTTAATTTTGTCTCCAACACCTTCAAATGTCTTTCTACAGAGGGCTGGTTGAACAAATCTGGCACCTCCACACAGTGGAATACTATGCAGTCACGACAAAGAACAAGAGGGCTCTCTGCATTTTCACTGTTGCTTGAAAGTGCAAAGTACACAGCAGTTTACTACTTTTTATGTAAAAAGGCTCTATGTTTGAATTTGCTTACATTTGCATAATCTCTGGAAGAGTAAACAGGGAACAAATAAAAGTGCTCATGTATGTGTTAAGGGGAACTGGGCAGAGGGGGGAGTGGACAGGGATGGAATTTTTTTGCTGAACATCATTTTGTATTTTCTGACTTTTGAAACATGTGACTATATTATTTATTCAAAATTAAAAAGGAAGGGTGGTGGCAAGCAAACAAAACAAACCTCTGAAGCAAAGAAGTGCCAGGACCAGACATTCTCTAAGCCCTTGATTCTGTTTATTTCTGAGCTCAGCCTTGACCTTAGAACCAACTGAAAGCTGATTATATTGAAACTTTTATTTTGGTGTTCATGCTGGACGTTTTCTTGGAAGGCAGACCTTAGTGTAAAAGCAGGGAATGTCTTTATTTAAAAAAAGAAAAACAAAAAGTAAAACCAAAAAACTATCAGGTAGCTAACATACTCTTCCCCACTCTCCTCCTCCCCCCAGTTCACTGTCGGCCGGTGAATGCGGTGGGGGGGACTCACGTTCAGAGTCCTGCTGTGGCCCCTCCGCCCCAATCCTCTCTCTGCCTCTTAGGAGGTCACTTAATCTCCAAGGAGTGGGCCTTCCTGGGTCAGCAGGGGTGACAGGAAGGGGTGCATGGGGTGCAATGTTCCTCCATACTGGGAATTGGGAAGCCAAGGTGCCTGAGATTCCACCGTTAGCCATCTGTCTTCTAGAAGCTTCTCTGAGACGATGGGGGAAAAAGGATATGGGGAAGGGGTCATCTCACAACGCCTCTGGCCACTTCTAGGCTTTGTAGATTGTCACTCCTGTTAGTACTGTTGGGCGTCAGATCAGGATGTGCTGGGTGCTTCTGCATTTTATCCCTGGGCCAAACCTATGAAGTAGGTGTTATTTATTATAATCCCCATTTTATGGATGAAGAAACAGAGGGATAGAGCAATCAAGTGACTTCCCCAAGGTCACATAGCTTATAATGGGCAGCTCAACCTCCCAGCTGTTCGGCTTCTAACATCCTCCAGCAGGGTGCTGCAAATCAGTTAAAAAGCTCTGCCTCCTAGCTCCCTACCACTGGCTCTGCGACCTTGGGCACACGCCTTGCCTCGAGGGGTCCCAGTTTCCGGGTGTTAGTAATGGGGGCGGGGCCTTATGATGGACCACGTCACTTCAGTTGGCCTAGGTGGAGCACTGCAGGCTGCAGAAGTCAGCGGATGAGAAGAGCCTCAACACGTTGACCAGTGGGAACATGATAAGCGCTCCGAGGAGCGAGCCCAGCTGCACCGCCGCCCCGCACCACAAGAGGGCGCTGCGGCTACGGTCACGCAGGATCACGCCCAGCATCACCTTGACATAGCTCAGACAGCCAATGAACAGCACCCACGAAGCCACCTGCGGGGATTGGTTGGGAGAGACTCAGCAGTGAAGGTAACTTTGGGGCGAGCCCCAAGGGCGAAGGGCGCTTCTAGGGTGACTGAACAGGGCTAAGGGGACCCCATGGAATAACCTCTAAGTTCAAGGAGAGCCTTTTGCGGGTGACTCTGCTGGACTACTGGGGCCCCCTGAGTTGACCTCCCCAAGGACAAAGGAGAGCCCAATAGCTTTTCTGTCTCATGATCAAGTCAAGGGCAACTAAGAGAAGGCCACGCTGACATACACATAGTGGAAAAAGCGTGGCATTCAGGGGAGAAGCTGGACTGTCACCTTGGACCAGCCAACTCACCTTCTTAAGCCTCTGTTTCCAAATAAGAAGCATCCCTCCCCTTCCCCCCAACCTTGGGCTTCCTGAGTGAGTAACCACAAAGACTTTGGTCAAGAGAAGGGGCTATACTCTCGACCTCCCAGGCCTTGGCTAGCTGGGGGTTGGGAGGCGGACAGCTCCACAGGCCAGATACTTACGATGAGGACTTCTCCACCCCAGTGGCCCTGCATGAGGGGGCAGGGGCTCATCACGGCCATGGCCATGTTGTAGGCCCCAAAGCCGGTCCCGAGCACTGTAAGGACCCCCAGGAATGGCAGAGACCTAGGACAGAGCGGGGGGTGGGACGTGAATAGAGGAGGTGAGTAGCCTGACCTCTGCCCCTCCTCCCCCACCCTGCCCAAGCCCCAGGGGGCCACAGGGAGTGGTCAGAGTCTCCAGGCTTAGAGGTTAGACCCATGTGGAAACTTCCAGGCTACCCAGTTCAAGTGGGTCAGCGAGGTTCCTGGGGTCAAGGCTGGCCTAAGTCATCCTGAGTGTTAACAGCAGGGCCCAGCATCCCAGCAGGAAAAACAGAACAGACTCTAGTGCTACATGAGCCTGGTTCAAATCTCAGTTCCACCTGCAGGACTGGTCCCTAAGCCTCAGTTTCCTCGCCTGCGTAAGGAGCCTTGTGGGGCTGGGGAGCAGTGTGCAGGGCCTGGCCCTGGCTGTGGGCCCACCTGCTACCATCTGCGGCCATTTCCTGCTGTGATGCTCCCCAGCCCAGCCAGGAAGCTGCGCTGATGAGTGGGAGGCTTGGATCATGTTCCTGGCACTGCAGGGTGTGTGCTGTGCGACCTCGGGTGACCCTTCTCCCTCCAGCCTCAGCTACCTTGTCTACAACGTGAGGTTTGCACGATCTGGGGGTCCTGGTGGCTGGCTTAGAGGCACTACACTGGTGGCCTTCCATGTAGGCCCTCGGTCTGACCACTGAGGACACCATCCTTCATTTGAGGCCTTTTCCCTGGGGTCTCCCTGGCCACATTCTTCAGAACACTGACAGGTATGCACCCCTAGGTGACAGTGGAGGGGCTGCCCTGCCTCTAAGGACTCATTCTGCTTCAAGATTCTTGAATTCTGAGACTCTCAGACTCTGTATTTCTAACATTCTGGGTGTCTCAGCATCCACAGGTCTGTGGCCTCTGGTCCTGCTCCCTGAGAAATCTCCAGCTTCCCTCCACAGTTTTTAAACCTCAAGGGAGAAAAATCAGCCTTCTGGCAAAGTGACATCTTCTGTCCAGCTCTCCTGTCCTCATTACTCCTCCTTCCCGGGCTGGGGGGTGGGGGGTGGGCAGGGCTGAGAGGCTGTGAGGCCAGGCAGGGCAGAGGAGCACGTGGGAGGCAGGGACACCTAAAGTTTCACAACCCCAAGGTGGGTGTTTCTCCTGTGCGGATCCGAAGTCCCTACATCAGAACCACTTAGGTTGCTTATTAAAATTTGAAATTGGGACTTCCCTGATGGCACAGTGGTTAAGAATCTGCCTGCCAATGCAGGGGACACGGGTTCAAGCCCTGGTCTGGGAAGATTCCACATGCCGCGGAGCAACTAAGCCCGTGTGCCACAGCTACTGAGCCTGCGCTCTAGAGCCCTCGAGCCACAGCTACTGAAGCCCGCACGCCTAGAGCCCGTGCTCCGCAACAAGAGAAGCCACCGCAATGAGAAGCCCGCGCACACCGCAATGAAGAGCAGCCCCCGCTTCGCCGCAACTAGAGAAAGCCCGTGCACAGCAACGAAGACCCAACACAGCCATAAATAAATAAATATTTATATTAAAAAAAATTTGAAATCTAGGCTGGATCAATCTGCATTTTATCAATTTGCCCAGCCATTCTTCTAGAACTGCAGCTGTAAGGGAGCCGGCATGGGCCGGAGGCAGGAGGGCAGGGCTGAGATCCTCGGAATTAGACCACGGCAGACCCTTTCTCCAAGCCTCAGGGTTTCCATTTGTAAATGGGAACCTCACTTCCTGCTTGCTCCTCCACATGGGCCAATGGCGGTGATGGTGGACCTGACATGTGCCACTGCTGTAAAAGCTTTACCAAATTAGCTCGTCTTATGCTCCCAGCAACCTAGGAAGAAGATCTATTATTATCCCCGTTTTCTAGATTCCTGAGGCACAGAGAGGTGGAGTGACTTGTCCAGTATCACAAAGCTAGTAAGTGGCAGAGCCGGGATTTGAACCCAGGCAGTTGAGCCACAGAAACCATATTCTTAACCGCTACACATCCAGCCTGATAGGTGGGTGTGGGATTCTGGGTTCTGACATGAAGTGTGCCCCCAAGCAGAGTTCTCCAGGGCCAGGTGGGGGTAGACCTGTTAGGCAGAAACATGGAGAGGAAGCAGGCGAGAGGGTTCGCCATGGAGCTGAGGGTGGCGGACAGGTGGTAGGCCACGGGCCCATAGGACAGGCAGGAGTAGGTCTGCACGGAGGGTAGCACGCCGTTGGTGAGCGCATTCACAAAGGCCACCAGGATGTAGATGAAGGTCAGGTGGGCCAGGTGCTGGGGGGCTGTCTTCTCCTCCAGAGGCTCCTGGCCCTTGACGCTGTCCTCCGGGCCTGGGGGGCCCAGGTCCTTCCCTTCCTGCGGCCGGATGGAGTGGAGGGTGACCTGAGAGGTGAGGAGGTCTTCTATGGAAGCTTCCCAGCGCCTGGGTTGACGCTGGAGGAAAAAGAAAGCAATGAGGCAGCAGGCCATCATGAAGGAGAGCAGGAGGAAGAAGACGAAGGGCGAGAAGGTGGCGGGGAGGTAGTGGCTTTCCAGGTGGACCACGGATGGTGCCGTCCTAGCGAGCTCAGACACAAAAGCGCTGCTAGCTCCCTGGGAAAGACAAAACAAGGGTCAGTCGGATCCCTGGGTGATGTCAGGGCACAGGTAACAACACAATTAATGGTGACAATACAGGCACACCTTGCTTTATTGTGCTTCACTTTGTTACACTTCGTGGATGTTGCATTGTGTGTGTGTGTGTGTGTGTGTATACAAACTGAGGTTTTGCGGCAACCCTACATCGAGCAAGTCTATTGGTGCCATTTTCCCAACAGCATTTGTTCACTTTGTATCTCTGGGTCACAATTTGGTAATTCTTGAAATATTTCAAACCCTCCACTAACAAAAAGATTACGACCCGCTGAAGGCTCAGATGGTGGTTAGCATTTTTTAGCAATAAAGTATTTTTAAATTAAGGTATGTACATTGTTGTTTTAGACATAATGCTACTGTACACTTAATAGACTACATATAGTGGTAAACATAACTTTTATATGCACTGGGAAACCAAAAAAAATTTGTGTGACTCTCTTTATTGCAATATTGCTTTATTGCAGTGGTCCGGAACCAAACCCTCAATTATCTCCAAGGTCTGCCTGTATACAATAATATTAGGCATTATTATTAGTAAGTAAGTGATGGATAATAAACGCTCACACTGACTGATTGCTCACTACACAGCAGCACTGTGCACGTAGCAGCTCGTGTGCGCCTTCTGACGGCCCTGCGCAGTGGGGTCCATCACCCCTGGTTTTAGAGGGCACAGAGGTGTCAGGACGGTTTGTCTTACCTGAGGGTTCCGGGGAGTACGTGGCGAAGCCAGTGCGCTTGGTTCTTTCTGACCCAGAAGCTACAGCTTTCCCCCCTTACTGCCCTCCAGGGCTGGTAACCACAAATATACATGTTCAGAGGAGGGGCTGGCTGCAGACAGGAGAGCAGCCCCACCCAAAGGCGCCCTGTGGCGACTTTCCTCCAAGAGATATCATGCCTCTAGATTTATGTATGTGAAATTTCAAAAAATTTAAATGTTATCAACTAATTCAAACTCTCGAAGAAGAAAAATGCTTTCATGCTATGGTGGCCCAGGCCACTGGTTTGCAAACATGGCTGTACTGCGGTGGTTTGGATGGTGTTAGGTGTATATACTGTCCAATATCCAGTGAGGAAGTTTGATGTTGTAACAGCACGAGGTATTGAAGCAACGTCTAAAGTCTATGGTTCTCAGCCCTGTCTGTACATTAGTGACAGCTGGGGAATTCTGAATACATACACATTTACAATCCCTTATCTGCAATTCTGAAATCCAGAAAGCTCTAAAAGCCAGAATTTTTCTGTGTCTCATTTGACAGCAACACTGAGCTGGATATGAGTCTATTTACAGCCTTCGTCTGCCTACTGGGCATGAATGCCCCGGGCTGTGGGCAGCGGGGGTCACTGTGCTGCACTGCTGGGTCACAGGCCCTGTCCCAGACTTGGGGTAAGTGTGTTCTAAAATCTGAAGCTCCAGATTCCAAAACACACCTGACCCCAAGGATTTCAGGGATGGGGGTGAGGGGGTGCCCGCTGGCATAGGTCTCAGCAGCTCCCCCGGGGGCTCTAAAGTGCCGCCAGGTCAAGAACACTGGTCCACCCAACATCTAGGAGACACCAGCCCTCCGTAGGACCTTGCTTATGACCAAGAACAGAGCTGCAACAGCTCTGGGTAATGCCAGGTACCTGTGGGCTGTCCATGTTCCTGGTGGTCTCAGGGATCGGGGTGGTGTCTGGTGTTTCAGTGATGTTGACACAGGTGGTGAGACCCGAGCCCTGCGCGAGAGCCACCAGGGCAGGCAGGAGGCCGCTGAGTCCTTCACCCACAAAGAAGGTGGTGAGGTAGTGGGTGGGCAGCCTGCTCATGAAGGGCAGGAAGGTGACGGAGGAGGTGCAGTCCACCAGGGCCAGGAAGAAGGTGAGGACCAGAAAGGCGATGCTGTGGTGGCTGCCCAGCACCCAGGAGGTGACATTCCAGAGGAAGGCGAAGAGGGTGCAGGCGATGGTGCCCACCCCCAGCACAGTGAAGATGATAGGCACCTCGGAAAGGCAGCCGGCTTGGAAGTGATGGAGTAGGGTGACCAGCAGGGGGCCGACGTTGGCCAGCTGGATGATAACTGTGAGGTAGGAGGGCAGGTACCAGCCCTCGGGCAGCTCCGTTACCAGCAGGGGCAGCTCTACCCAGAGCCCGTTGATGGCCACCCAGGAGCCCATCCCGAAGGTACAGACCAGCAGGTGTATCAGGAAGGCCATGGTGACGTCTGCCCTGGGCCGGAGGCTGCTGCCTCCACAGATCAACCTGCAGTGTTTGATGGAGAAAAATACTAGGTGAGCAAAGTCAGGTTCACCATCTAGCAAAAGACTGTGCTTCTGGGCCCTCCCCACGAACAAGGTGGCTTTTTATTAGCAGAAAACATGGACAAATTCCTTTATAAGTAAGCTTCCAGTGGGGAAGGCTTTCCTAATTATGACTTGTAAATCCAGAGACTACAAAAGAAAAATTTGATACTTTCAACTGCATAAATCTTAGAACACACAAAAGCAAGAAAACCAACAAAACAGCCTCTGCAAAAATGCCAAAAAATACCAACAACAAGATCAAAAGACAGATGACATCCTGGGTGAAAATACTGCAATGTAAATCACAGACAGAAGATTTATCTTCCTAATGTATAAAGAGTTTTTATAGATTAAGAACAAAAAGACCCAATAGAGAAGTAGACAAAGGATATGAACAGTTCAGAGGAAAAAGTACAAAGAAGTCTTAGACATATGAAAAGATTACCTTCATTCACCATGGGAAATGTCAATTAACAATGACTCCAAGGTGCCACTTCGCACTGTGAGATTGTCCCAAAGCCAATGTTTACCTGCCCTGGACAAAATGATGTATGTACGAGGTTATTATTTCTTGCGGCCCTGTTGGTAATAGCAAAACATGGGAGACAACCTCCCTGCCACCCACAGAAGAGGGGCTAGTGGAAGGGATGGCTGCCTCTTGGAATAGCACACACCTGTTACAAGGAGAGGGATGCAGGAGAGCTCACTGGCTGATAGGATAACGACAGGCCTCGAGGCCGAGCTGATAAGTGAACAACATCAAGGTAGGTAGACAGGAGAAAAGGAGGAAGAATATGTTCTCTTTGCTTGTATTTGCACAAAGCAGCCCTTGAAGGACACATAGAAACTGCTGGGATGTTCAGCACCTCAGTATAGATCTTTTTATATAATTTAGATTTGTGAACCATGTAAACGTACTATCTGGGGACTTCCCTGGTGGTCCAGTGGTAAAGAATCCACCTTCCAACGCAGGGGACGTGGGTTTGATCCCTGGTCGGGGAGCTAAGATCCCACATGCCGTGGGGCAATTAAGCTAACGCGCTACAACAACTGAGCCCGCACACCTCAACTAGAGACAGAAAACCCGCACGCCACAACTAGAGAGAAGCCTACATGCTGCAACGAAGAGGCTGCATCCCACAATGAAGACCCGATGCGGCCAAAACAAAAAAATAAAATAAATATTTTAAAAAGTCAGGATCATTGTCAAAAAAACATACTACCTGTTACAAAAATAAGGTTATCTGATATAAAATTGCAGTCTGGAGTTTTTCTCCTCAAATTATAGAGCTCCCTCTCTGGACAGGCCCTGGGAGACTGCCTGACTGTAGCCCCCCTGGAACCATTCTGTGATCTGTTTACCACCTTCCCAGTTACCTGTGTCATACCACCTGTGCAGTTACCCTCAGTCTAAGGAAAAATATTGGAGAGGCTTTGTCAACTGAAAAAAAAAATCAGCACCGCACAACATAAGGGCAGTGAGTTTCAGTTTTTATTCAGGGGTCTTACTGAGGACTACAGCCTCAGATAGCTCTGAGGAACTGCTCGGGAGAGGTAGGGGAAGAGCCAGGATATGTAGGAATTTCTTGGCTGGGAAATACACGTAGTCATGCATACATCTTGGTAAAAGATCACACACAAACACACACAAACCCAGATAGCTCAAGCTAATGATTTTAGTATTTTTCTATGGACAGGACGATGCAAGATTGCTGGGTCATTGAAATTCTTCCTTAGATATGCATCTTAACTGTCTAGGGGCTCTATATCCAAAACAGAATGCTTCATGCTGTTTTTCCATCCTGAATTCCCCCCAGGGAGCCCTGTCCGTGGTCAACTTCTGTGGGTTGCAACTAGATCCTTGTAGAGCTGGAATGTCAGACAACATTCTTTGTTTACAGCTTTGAGTGAGACTCTGGAGCCAGCTGCCTGGACTTGAACACAGCTCTGCCTCTTAACTGGATGATTTTGGACAACTGAGTTTGCCTCTGTGCCTCATTTCCCCCCACTGTAAATAGAGGGCAATGATAGTATCGACCTCATGGTTTGTAATGAGATGCAATGTGTTAATGAGTATGTGTCGTCTCAGTGCCTGCCGCACAGAAAACGCTCACTAAGGGTTAGCTGTTTTTGCTATGGTGCAACGCCAGGTTTGGTGACAATTATTTTTTTCTAATTTGCATGCAAATTAACATATGACTATTAAAATTAATAAAGGAAAAAAAGTTCCCCATGAGGTACCACCTGAAATACTGGTGGCACATGCACCATTTTGGAAAGAGATGTTGATTGGGCCAATCACCTCCTTTTACCGATGGGAAAAGGGGTAGGGTCTGCAGGGGTGTAGGGGCTCTGCTGAGGCTGGTGATGGGATTTGGAGCAGGGTCCCCTGCAGCACTTGGCTCCGCCTATCTCTCCTCATGACGCTAATCTCGGTTCTGCTCAATTCACATGGTCAGCCTTTAACTCCTTGTCTCTCTTTTAGAACCCGCAGGGGCAGCCCTGTGGCTACGCCCCACCCAGGAAGCTCCCCTCCAGGTTCCCACATACAGAACTGACTCTCCAGGTCCAGACTCCTTTCCTCCTTCCTCCTTGGAGGGAACACAATCCTCCGGCTGCCACCTCTTCCTCTCTGGGAGGCAGAATGCAGAATGCAGCCCGACTTGCTTTCAGTCCCACTTCACCACCTCCTGTCTGGGAGCCTTAGGTGAGTCACTAAGCTCCATTTCCTCACCTGCGAAGCTGGCCCACTAACAGCCCAGGACAGGCCTGGTTCTGGGCATGCCCAGAGGACCCATGGAAAGAGGGCAAAATTCTGCCTTCGCCTGTGCAGTGCTCCTTGCCTGGGGCGCCATCCCCCTCCCGTCCATATCCCAGATTTCTGCAGGACCCTACCCCCCAGGAAACCTCATCTGGCTGCCCAGCCCTGGGACCCAGGACCCTCCATTTAGGGTTTTCCTGGTGTGGGTGTATGCTGGCACATTTCCCGGGGAGACTGAAGCCCCTGGAGGGCAGGGGCTGCTTTGGAATCTGGCTTTTTTTTTTTTTTCCGGTATGCGGGCCTCTCACTGTTGGGGCCTCTCCAGTCGCGGAGCACAGGCTCCGGACGCGCAGGCTCAGTGGCCATGGCTCAAGGGCCCAGCCGCTCCGCGGCATGTGGGATCCTCCTGGACCAGGGCACGAACCCGTGTCCCCTGCATCGGCAGGCGGACCCTCAACCACTGCGCCACCAGGGAAGCCCTGGAATCTGGCATTTTGACTGCAGAAGAGCCTTTACAGATGACCTAGCTCCGGATTTGTAAACTGGTAACTCACTGGCCGCAGGCGAGCAGCAGATGTATTATTTTGATGTGTGGCATGTTGTAAATAATTAGTTACTGAAATCCACAAGTCAGGAAGGAGGTGGCATACAAAACTCAGGATTTCTGGCTTCTTGGGAATATTCTGGAAGACCACACCAGGACAATGTGCCCACATGGCAACAATCACCCTTGGCCCTCTGTAACTTAGGGTACCTGCCTGGGCCCCTCCAGGCCCGGTAGACACTGCAACCCCTGATCAAGCCTAGCCCTTATTTCTGAGAGCAAGATGTGGCTTGCCCAGGATCCCCCACTAGTTGGGGGCAAAATGCGGGCTGGGATCCAACCTTGGGCCTCTCAGTACTGGACTCCGGGCACTGACTCCAGCCACCTGGAGGCAGACGCCGGGGCTCAAATTGCAGCTTCAACCCTGCGCAAACAACTTAACCTCTGCTATCTGATTCCTCTTGTGCAAAATGGGAGGGTCCCAGTACCAACATCAGAATTGTTAGGACCATGAACTTGCAAAATACTAGCATGATGCCTGACACATAGTAAGTGCTCAATAAACATGAATGATCATGATTACGATTTCAGCAAACATGTCAATTGCATTTAAAAACACACAATTTTCCTGAGCACACTTCTAGATACCACAACACACATAATTCCTGATGGCAAAATTTTGTCATCACTTCCCCCTAAAACAATCGACCCGGGATTATTAGTCACCTACTTTGTGCCCAGTGCTGTGAGGGATGCAGGCAGAAAAGTCACAGGGGCTATGCCCAGAGAAAAGTGTGAGGAAGAGGTGTGTGGGCTGCAGGACCCAGATGCATCATGGGCCAAAGCAGGCAGAGTTGCAGGTAGAGGGGAGGGTGCAGTGGCTGGGACTGGATGGAAAGGCAGGGTTTCCCACCTGCTGGGAAAACTAGTAAAGTAGTCTTGTTCAGGCTTCAGAGGCAGAAGTAGGCCTCTGACTGTCTTGTGACCCTGCCTCGACTGGCTGCGTGCCTGTTTACACACTTAACAATTGTTACTAACTAGTCAGGCGGCACTTACCATAAGAAAGGGAGTGGGTCTTGGAATTTCTTGAGCCCTGGGGACTTGGCCAGTCCCCTGCGGTCTGGAAAATCTTGTGACTCACATGGTGAAATCGACAGCATTGTTACAATTGAACCAGAGCTGCATTTTTGCACGCAAACAGATGATATCAGTTTGCGGCCACGCACTGCCCGAGACCCTTCCCAACTGGGACTTCAGACTGCTGTTACTCGGGACTTCCCAGCTGCTGTTTGAACCTGGATGAAGGTGTTGGCCCAATCTGGTGATGTATACTCGGTTATATCTAATACTTTTATTCATCCCCTTCTAATGACTGTATATTGAAATTATGTTAAATAATCTTCTATTAAAGAAATTAATTAAATCTGTTCAGTTGTGTGAGACGAGTGGTTATTTTGCCAGCGAATCCAACGAACCTTGAAACTGAAAGCAGGCTTTCGGCAATACACCACCCTACCTTGGCCGAGGCAGGTAACTCAATGGCTGCAAAACAGGGGCTGTCCTGCCCTGGAGGATCAGTGGAGTGGAGGAGGGAGAGAACCTTTTCCAAAAGCCAGCAATTCATTGCAGCTTCTCGGCTGCCCAAAGTACTGTC